TGGATGCGGCGCATCCACCTCATCCTCCACTTCTCAGCTTCGCATGCTAGGGTGGATGCTTCGCATCCACCCTTTGTTCCTCCATCTCAGCTTTGCCCAGGTACGGATGCTAAGGCGGATGCTATGGGCCGACTTCACTGCTAAGGATGCACGAACTATGATTTTTTTCTAGATTGGATGCGACGCATTCAACCCTTCTTCCTCTAGCTAGAGCACCTTTTCTTCATATATTTGCACTCTAAACACCCTAATTCACCACACACAACTCAATTAGTCATAAAACTAATAATTAAACCATGTTGGGCATTTTAAAGATCAAATAACATCAAGAAGCGATTAAAACATGGGTAAAGTAACATCAACACATATCACACACATTCCGCACATAAGATTGAGTTGGTGCACATAACTCGCCCTCGGGAATATTTTGATAATTTTTCCCTCGGTGGTTCTCTCCATAATATACATAAGGAGGATCAAGATAAGAATTACCAACATCAAAACTCTCATAATTCCACGATGCCATGTCTCTCAAATCAATAAGTAAAACAAAAATAAATTAAAAAATCAAATACAAAAATAAAAAAATAAAATAAAAGTTCAAACTTGAAACCTAGCAATATGTACACCTACAGTTACACTGTTAGTTTTCCGGCAACGGCACCAAAATTTGATCACGCCCAACTATGCCTTATAAAAAGGACTAAGCGGTCGTTGCAAATATAATCCGGTTTACAAGTCCGGAGTCGAATCCCACAGAGAACTAAGGGTTAGCTACAGCTGTTCAATATAGCTAAGAAACACAAGGCCAAACAATTTCCTAATTATAGAGATTATAATATTTATTTCTAACTAATTAACTAACAACTATTATAAACCAGTAAAATTATCAACTAACGAGGATGAAATTTTAGACAAGACTAAGGAGGTCTTGAGTTATGATTTCCCCAATTGTCGGAATCCTTCCCGCTATGCCTTCTATAATTTCACCTAAGTTTTCTCTACCGATCATGAGCGCTATGAGTGTCGTAACTCTCTCCCGAGTAATTACCACACTTTACTAGATATATTCTTCCGAATTACGCTAGCTGGCATTAAGTACGGCTAACTCGGATCGCACCAAGGTTTCGTTATCCCTAATCCCACATTTAAACCCTTCGTATTGATCTCTCATATGCGTTAGGAGTGATGTTGTTCAACAACTACCTACATATACACTCGCTCCCGAGTAATACACACTAAATAGGCACAGTCGATTGAGAGCTATTCAACCAACCACAATAATAACGTAGTTGAACAAATAGAGAAAATACTACGACAAATCTATATTAATGTAGCAGGAAAATCATCCTTCAAGAGGTTCCATCAAAACCCTAGATAACAAATTAACTATTCATAATAGTATGCAAAGCTACAATACTAGAATTCATAACCAATAATGGAAGTAGCAAGAAGGAAGTGAAAAACTCGTAGAAAAATTCTCTGCCTTGCTCCTCGTGTGTTCTTGCCTCCTTAGGTCAAAATCCCAGGTCTAATCTCGGTCTAATATCGGTCTCTTCTCAAAAAAATGGTGTTTAATAACTATTTATATGTGTAGGAAAAAGATCTAGACGAAATTACCAAATCCAAAACCAAGTAGGAGACAAAATAGGAAAAACCGGACCATGCATCGCTCCGCGAAACGCGCAAAGCACCTTGCGTCAACCCACGCGTCGCGTGCCCAAACGCGAAGATGCAAATGTCGCGTCGCCTGCTTGTGCTTCCGTTGCGTTTACATTTTGCTCAACTCACTTTTCAATTTCTTTTCTCTTTCTCGTTTCTGCCTTGCTTCTTTCAATTCTTCTTTGTCTTCTTTTGATTTCTTTTGTCATTCTTTAGATTTCGTTTGTCCCCTAATTAAATAATCACAATTTTATTCTTGTAATGTATAAAATACACATAAAATCTCTATTTTGCTTTCAATTTCGTGTTCAACATAACTACACATAAAATAAACTCAATTAAGCACAAATATAATATAGTTTAGCATTAAAGCACCTTAGCATTAAAGCACCTAAATGTAAGGTAAGTAATGCATTAAAATATGAAATTATAGCCGAACATCAGTAATTTTCAGATGTGATATTTTTTGTACAAGACTATAATGGGAGCTGCTAATTATTCCTGTGGGCAAGTACACGATTTAATTGTTAGTAGATCTTATGCAATTTGGAAATTTTCTTTATTAATTATTGAACATTTTAAATATTGAAAAGCACAAGAACATAGATTAGGAGGTGTTGTAACCTGGTTAGTTATTGGTTAATGATATTGCTATGAGGACTTCTAATAAGTATAAAGGACTTTGTTTCCCTAATTGTGATTTTTTGCGTTCATGGACATTTTGTTTTTAATGGACTTCTAAGAAGTAAAACGGAACGACGGATCGGTTATTTCCTAACCTCAATAAGTGGGGAGGTGTCTCTTCAATGAGGAGATTTATATTTTGTTATTTAATTATTTAATGAGGTAAATAATTAAAATAGAAAAAATATCCAAAAACAGGAAAAAAAGATAAATGTAATTTGTAATTATTGAGAGGTGCCACAATAGTTTTATCAAGTACTTCATCCGTTCACTTTTAGTTATTCTTTTTTGACTTTGTACTACCTTTAAGATTTTATATTTTACCCATAATAATGATAGCATTTCAGAAAGTCTTAGGAATATTTCGGATAATGAATAACTAATGATGAGGGTATAACAGGAAAAAAAGAATGTCTTTCTCTTGATTTACTAAAATAGACAGTAAAAATAAAAATATATTTTTAATATAGTAAAAAAGTAAAAATGAACTGAGAGAATAATATTTTTTATCTCACACCTCTTAATCTCTTCTTAATAGCCATAACTCTCTTAGCATTTCATGTGCGTATCTTTCAAATGTTTAATGTATAGGATAATAACACCTTATGGTGTTCAATTGTTTGTATACTTATATAAGTTTATTTTTAGTTATTCTCGTAATACTTCTTTGTTGTTGAATTTCCATTACTCATATTCTTCTCCACGTTCATCTATAATTTTACTTTTTGACTTCGTTTCCTTCATAACTTTGGACTATCTCAAGTTTGTAAGATGACTCAAAACATTTAAAATTCTTAATCGTTTTATGAGGATAAAAATAGAGGGGCTGGAGAAGATTGGTATTGTTAGAAGGAAGAATACAATTGAGGGAGTTCGGAAGATGAAAAAAATTTATATATAAGTTATAACTGCAAGGAAAGACCAACACTCTTTATCTTCAGATAATAAGAGATTCTTTCTTAAGAATTTCTTCGGTTATTATTCTAAACTTAGTGATATATTGAGCGTTAGAGTAAACCGAAAAAGTACTATATTTATGATTTAATCTACTTATAAAATTAGTTTTTGTATGAATATACATAAAATTCATTCTCCTATCTTGACCAATTTACAAAAAATAGAATATTTTACAGATTCTTTTTCTTGATCGCGCGAAACGCGGACAACATCACTAGTCTACAAATAAGACTAAGTCCTTTGCCTTAACAACCTCAGTTAGTTAAGTTTTTTGGTATCCACAAAAATTAGTGAGATCCATTCTTGACGGGCAATAGTAGGAAAAAATAACCATAAACTCCACTAAATTAATTACATTAACTAACTTTTGTTAGATCAATCAAACACAAATAAAGCTTCTCTTGCATCGTTTAGCAAAATAAAGAGAAGGTAAAAGAAAAAAAAAAGTATAAAATTAAAATGAGTGGGAAACCAGTGTTGATATTTGCAGTTGATGATAGTGAGCATAGTTTCTATGCCCTTGAATGGACACTTGATCATTACTTTGCTTGTCCCTCAACTTCCCCCTTTAAGCTTGTGGTTATTCATGCAAAATCTAATGCATATGCTGCATGTGCAGTAGGAATGGCTGGACCAGGTATAATTCTAGAGTCAGTGGGTTCATAATAAGTGCGATCTTACATTATATATATAATCCGAGTAAACAATGTATATGAGTTCAATAATTGAAGCGACAGAGTCCGCCCTTGATTCGCCTCTATGTTAAACCTAATGTTGCTATTAATATCTATTACCCCTGCCTATGTTGTTCATGTTTTTATCAAATTGTTGTGTTGAACCTAATGTTGCTATCAATGTCTATGACTCCTATATATCTACGTTGTGTATGTTTTTATCAAATTGTTGGTCACTACTCCCTCTAATCCTTTTTTATTTTTATTTTTTCGTTTAGGGTTTTGGCACACTCATCCAAAGCATCTTTAATTAATAACATTATTTATAAGAGTTATTTGACTAAATTACTCCTTATTTTTCCTCATTACTCTTTGAAAAATTGTATAGATCTCTTATTGGAGCAAATTAAATTTGAAAAAAATAATTAAAAATCCCTTCTTGGTTTCTTCAAGCGGGCACTTATTTTGGACCAGGTTAATTTGATTAAAACGATAATTATTTGGATCGCGAGTTCGAGACGTGGAAGTAGCGACTAATGCTTGTATTAGAGTATTAGGCTATCTACATTACACCCTTTGGGGTGCGTCCCTTCCCCGAACCTTGCATGAACACGAGATACTTTATATATCAAACTGCCTTTTTTTTTTTATGGAGAATGAACTCCTAATATTGAACCTAATAGACTGCACTGGACATATATAGAGGATAGTTATTGAAAATCTTTTAGATATTTGATATGGTTATTTGTTGTGGCAGGAAGAATTGATGTGCTTACCCTCATAGAAACAGATATTAAAAGGGGAGCAGAGAAAGTTATTGAAAAAACAAAAGAATTATGCAAGAGTAAAAGACTAAAAGAAGTATCATGTGAAGTAATTGAAGGTGATGCTAGAAATGTTATTTGTGATGCTGTTGACAAACACCATGCCTCTCTCTTGGTCATGGGTAGTCATGGTTATGGAGCTTTCAAGAGGTACCCATAATTTACTATTTTGTTTTATTATGTTTATGTTATATACACTGATAATATAATATAAGGAATTTTTATACTATTAATCTAATTTAATGGGTTGAAAGGAATACACTGATAATATAATATAAGGAATTTTTATACTATTAATCTAATTTAATGGGTTGAAAGGAATACACTGATAATATAATATAAGGAATTTTTATACTATTAATCTAATTTAATGGGTTGAAAGGAATACACTGATAATATAATATAAGGAATTTTTATACTATTAATCTAATTTAATGGGTTGAAAGGAAGTTTTAGAGCAACGGTAAAGTTGTGTTCGTGCAACATAAGTCACGACTTGGACTCAGCCAGTGACACTTGCGTCATGGAATGCTACATACGTCACACCTCCTTTGGATAAAACCCTTCCCCGAACCCTATGTGAAGTTGTGAGCGTGAATATTTCGTGCACCAGACTGCCCTTTCTTATTGCAATTTAATCGGTTAAATCGAGTTGTCTGTTGTAGGTCAACTTGATTAACACGATAATAAGTAGTATTTATACTGACGGTGCATATAATATAAGCTCATGTTTACTTATTTTGTGAGAATATTGATTGGAAATTACATTTTAAATGCTGCAGGGCTGTATTGGGCAGTGTAAGTGACTACTGCTCTCATCATGCAAATTGCTCTGTGATGATTGTGAAGAATGATACAAAGCCAAAGCAATAAACAACTGTAAATGGCTCTGTCTTATTCAGTTGCAAAGGTTTTACTGATTTTAAGGTCCATATAGAATTGGTTCCTGTGTTATGACATTAGGGTTTTTTTTTCCTTTAGAAAAAAGAAGAAGAAAAAAAACTCATTATACAGTGTAATGTTTTGGATTCCCTGTAACTGTGAACTACTTTTGTATGTCAAAATAATTCTTATGTGAATAATTCTTTGGATTCTCCAACTTACTGCTAAAGTTGGAGTACTAATTAAGCATGCTCAGAAAACATGTCCCGTAATTGGAGTTAGTGGCATAGTCGAGATTTTCACCAAGAAAAGTTAAAATATAAAAAAATAAACACGTACAAATTAAAAAAATTCAATGTATAATATATATACATAAAAAATAATTTTTATCTAGCTATATAGTATAATTTTGCGGCTAACACCCCTGGGACAAAGGTGCTTCGCCACAGGTCGGAGCTTCAGTTAGTGTAGCAGATATGTTGAGCTTCTGTTGATTATTGTCCCTCAAGTAGTATTTATATTATTTGTCCAATCACATCAGATAATTACTTACAACTTATACTCAATGCAAGTATTCAAATCAAATTACAGAAGCAAAAAAGAAAATGGAAAATTATTAACTACAAAGGTTGCTAATAGTGTACTAAATTAGCAGAAATGTTTACACTATCTACAGAGCCTTCGTGATAAAATGCACATTAATGGAGTATATACATATCTGTCTCACTATTATTATAAATCTAAATAAGTAAATAGATCGAAAATTTATGAGTGACCTATTCTGTCACGACCTAAAATCCAACTAGTCGTGATGGCACCTAACTCAACCTGTTAGGTAAGCCAATTACCAACTATCTGATTCCAATGAAATTAACGAGGCAATTAATTAAAAGAAAATATCTAAAACCAATATTTTCCCCCAAGAATTGGTAGTACAAATCATGAGCTTCTAAGAATAGAGTTTACAAAGCGGGTATGAAATAAATACATCATCTGTTTGAAAAGTACATAAACTGAGTTTTATGAATCTAAGGCTACCATGAACAAGAGGCAGCTACAACTGGAACGCAGATATATCTTCAAATCCAGCTCCCATCGAACACATCAACATCATCAGCCAACATCTGCACGCAAGGTGCAGAAGTGTAGTATCAGTACAACCGACCTCATGTACTAAGTAAGTAACAAACCTAACCTTAGGTTGAAAGCAGTGACGAGCTTTTACCAAGGTCGGGTCCAAAACCAATAGTCCACAATAATATCCAAAAAACAAATCTCATAACAACAAAATTGAGGCAGCATAATGAATAACTCAATAATAAAATGCTCAGTTCGTTCAAAGTTCCGGAAAAATAAACATTTTTCTTTTCAAATATAATAGTAAAACTCAATTCTTTTCATTAAAATCACCAAAATATGAGTAAGTCTGAAAACTGTGATTTTTTCAAAATCCTTTCAATAATAAATGGGATGTTTCATTTTCTTTCCAAATAACCCGTATAAAACAAATGCATCACTATGCCCATCTGTCAAAAATGTATGAGAAATCATGAATGATGTGATGTTGTACAGCATGAGAAAAATACATCTCTATGCATGTATCTCATGTGTGCATGCCAATGCGATGCAACTCAGTGATAAAATCATAAACAGCCCCTCGGGCAGAACATCACTAATATGCAGCCCCTCGGGCAAACCTCACAGTCACTCGTGCCACTCGGGCATACCTCACAATCACTCGTGCCTCCCAGTCACTCGTGCCACTCGGCACTCGCACTTAGTAGGTACCTGCACTCACTGGGGGTGTGTACAGACTCCGGAGGGGCTTCTTCAGCCCAAGCGCTATAATCTGCACGGACAATTCACGTGCTACACGGACAACTCACGTACTATAATATCATATCAGAATCCGCACGGATAACTCACGTGCCATAATAATAAAGTATGCTGCAGGCGGGCAGCCCCGGTCCACACTCATCTTCATAATCAGGCCCTCGGCCTCACTCAGTTATCAATCTCTCCAGTTTCTCGGCTCACAATGTCATGAAAAATAGCCCAACAACAATGATATGATGCATCAACAATAAATAAGAGAGAATGAAGTATGATATGAAATGAATAAACACGACTGAGTGAACAATTACAATTTGAACATATTATTCAACCACAAAAATGACCCCAATGGGTACCATCAATAACAACATATGCCGAAGCATGATTTTTAATACGAGTCTCAGCTCAATTTTCTCTAACACATAGAGAATGTACGGATATCAACAGATTATTCAACTATACAGTCCCATGGAATTTGACCAAGTCACAATTCCTACGGTGTACGCCCACACGCCCGTTACCTAGCATGTGCGTCACCTCCAAACAATTCACATAATACGTATATTCAGGGTTCATACCCTCAGCGCCAAGATTAGAAGAGTTACTTACCTCGAACAAGCCGAATCCAATATCGAGCAAGCTAAACAATGCTTCCATAAATTCCATTCTGCGCGTAAAAACTTCCGAACGGCTCGAATCTAGTCACAATTAATTTGATTCAGTCAACCCAAATTATAGGAATTTATTCCATATCAAAATACTAATTTTTTCACAAAATCCGAAATTACACTCAAAAATTGCCCGTGGGGCCCACATCTCGGAACCCGACAAAAGTTATAAAATATGAACTCGTATCCAACCACGAGTCCAACCATATAAATTTTATCAAATTCCGACATCAACTCGACCCTCAAATCTTCAATTAAAGTTATTGAAGATTTTTACCATTTTCAACCCAATCTTTACCCATTTGAACTTAACAATCTTTCATAACCTTATTGGTATGTATACATAATACTCTTACACCCAAAAATCATATTATTAATCACCCTATCTTTATTTCAAACCCGAAATTGAAGAATTGGGGAAAGAAATTATTACCTTTTTGAAGCCCTAGCAAGATCCTTGTGAAATCTTCAAACCTTGAACAAGAATTGATGGATAAATGACTAAGTCTTCACTTTCTCTCTCTAAAATGCTCTCACTTCTCTCTAAAATATCAGATGAAACCCTTCAAAATAACCCCCAATAGTGTTTTATAAGAATGGGGCCGGGTTTATAAAATCAGAAAAATTAAGCCTCGAAACACACTATGCGGTTGCATATGCGATCGCATAACGCTTCTGCGGCTCGCAAAATGGCCGCGAAATGTGGCCTCCGAACTGGGCAAGGCTGCCACAGTATGCGGTCATTATGCGGTCCACAGACCTGTTCTGCGGTCGCATAATGCACCGCATAACTGATCTGCAGCCGCATAATGCGCCAAATTATCCTCCACACTTGTCTCTCTCCTTATCCACTATGCGACCATTATGCGGTCCGCAGAGTGATTCTGCGACCGCATAATGATCTCATAAATGACCCTTTTTCCGGAAAAAATTTTCCTTTACACATTGGTGCATTGTTCAACCCAAAAAGTCCGAGCCGCGGCTCGCCAGGTCGCCGCAAGAAATTTCTATAATCTTTGCACTAATTGATTCTACCTCGGCACCACAAAACCTTAATTTCCTTAGCAAAATTTCTCCGGGGTCGTTACACATGAGTCAATATCCGATCAACTATTTCAACTTAAGCTTCCAACATGAAAATTCATTCTTCCAAACTAACTCTGAAATACCTTAAAACCAAAATCGACAATTCACACAAGTCATAATACCTCGTAGGAAGTTATTCAAAACTTCAAATAATTGAAAGGAGCGTAAATGCTCAAAACGACCGGTCGGATCGTTACATATTCAAACTTTTAAATTAGTTGATACATATAATTCAATGCAACATTAGAGTATAAAAAGACCTCGAGTTCGTGCCCTAGCACCAACAATTGTTTTATATTTTTTTTCTCATTACATGGTAGGAAGATGAAAGGGGGCAGTGAGACTGGAAACCATACATATCATAAGACTCCCGCTATATGATCATATCATATCGTCATATATTATACTAAAAGTGGGAAGACCCCAAGTTAGAAGTTGATTTATAAATTTACCCATTAAAAACTAAGTGATAATTTTGCCCATGAGTAAGAAATTGCCTTCTATTCTATTCTATTAAATTAAATGAATAAAATCAGTTGCATTGTTTCACATTCCAACTTTTATTTGTTTGGTCCTATGAGCTTTGATGTTAGGCCAAAATGCTATACTTTTAACACATCACTCGCCCTATATTTTGTTAGTTTAGTGAGTTATTGTGCGACAATTGCGCTAAATTGTGTTGTTTTATGTATAGGAATATCGGAATAAATCATCGAATGAAAGTTGCACAAAAAGAGGACAAAAAACTCAAGAAAAGAGTCAAAAGCATCAAGTACCCAAACCGTGCTACAGACCAAGCTTCGCGAGGTCTATAGCCAGGTTGACCGTGCTATAGACTAGGCTTCGCGAGGTCTATAGCCAGGTCGACCGCGCTATAGACCAGGCTTCATGAGGTCTATAGCCAGGTCGACCGCGCTATAGACCAGGCTTCACTAGGTCTATAACCAGGTTGACCACGCTACAAACCAGGCTTCGCGAGGTCTATAGCACGGTAATTAAAAGTCGCGGGATTAAAGGACCTAAACCCAGATTTGGACCGGAGGGTTTGATAAGTGGGGATTTTGACTACTTATTAGCTCCTTTTAGCTTTCGTTTTAGCCCAAAAGCATTTAATTGTGTTCCCGAAAACTCATACAATATGCTTAATTGCAGGAGTATTGAAAAATGAGCCACTAAGATGAAATCCAACTCATGAAGGAGTGATCTGAGCTCAAGAACAAAAAACAGGCATAAAAGCTCAAAGTGCAGAGCGCAGAATATCATCTGCGGCTGCAGATTGTGAAGGCAAGCTTATCAGAGACAAGTGAAAAGTGCGGTCCGCACATGAAATGTGCGGCCGCAGAATCTAAGCAAGATCAGAAGTTCAGAGAGTTCTCATTTCAAGCTAAACGGAAGTGCGGACCGCACAATTATTGTCCGGCCGCAGAAGATCAGTCGTGCAGCCGCAACTGCATTTGTGCGGTCCGCAGAAGAGCCATGTGCGGCCGTACTCAGAAATGTGCGGACCGCAGAAAGAGAGAGATGCGGCCGCGGTTTAGAATTTTGCGGCCGCAAAAGTCCAATTCTGCCAAGCTGAAGAAAAATGCGGACCGCAC